CGCATCAAAGATAACAGTTTCGATGCCAAAAGCAACTTCAGCGAAATCTTAATTAATGTGCCGGGTAGCAACAGAATATACGAGGCAGTCTACGATTCCATATTTATGAAATATATCATCAGCACACATCACTAATTGATCACTCGGTAGCGTTTCAGTCATGTTTCCTTGCTCTCGTAACGAACCTTTTTTATCCGAATGAACGCCTATCTCATCAATCGTATCGTGCGAGCCACGTGGAGAAGAGTCCTCCTCATTTGTCGAAAGACTGATACGTCGTTCACTAGCTTCTGCAATGTTTCCTTCAGGTTCAGCATCTAATGGAAACAAAATGCACTTGCTCATACAATGAACTCAGGTCGATTATAACCCAGAATAGCGATGTTCTAATTTAATCAATTCACAAAATTATTACACTTACTTAAATTCAATAAAACGTTTACTGCAATAATGAACACTCGTTAACACTATGCTGAAGATGATTGAACGACTTAAAATTTAGAGCAATGGCAATAAAATAACAAATGTTTGATGATTTGATAAAAAGTTAAAATATTGACGAATGAGTGGATGAATATTTTGTAACAAATTGGAGGCGTACGATGAATAGCGAGATTCAAATCAGTGATACTCTGGACACTGCCAGTAATAGTTGGCTGTTGCTGGGCATTGAACGTATTCGATAGAATTGACCACCGGCGATGTGACATCAACCTCTCCCATCCGGTTGCACCGGCCGCTGTTCTACTCACTCTCGAACGGGGTATTGTCTGGAAGTTGAGAGTTCAACAATCGAAATATAATAGGTCGATGTTAGAATTGTTCTGTAAGAGAGATGTTGAATGCTTCATAGATCATATGGTTCTGGATTGAATGTGTGTTGTTTTCTAGAAAATTTCATTCGAAAGTACCTGAAATGTTTCGCGAAGAAATGCAGTTATCTCGTTTAAGAGAAGACAAGCCAACAGAAGTAGTGCCTGAGGGCACACCTCACCGCTATCGTCATTCACTACTCCTGAAAAACATTTCTCAGTATTCTATAGCAATAACCTGGAATTGACCAAATATATCAAATACTTTCACATATATACCCTCGTTACAATACCGTGAGCATGACGAACACTCACTGATTCAGAATATAACTGAAATGGAAAATTTGATGGAATTTTGTTCCAATAATTTCAAACCTTCATCGAAGAAGTCTTCTAATTCATCATGAAGTTTCAGCTGACGTTTCTTCATATCAGTACGTTTGTTGAAAGAATCGGATTTCTCATTGCTGTTCATCACACCATCTGTCTCCATTAATTTACAAATACGATCTCCAATCTGAAAAGGGGGCATAATCTGCTGAAATGATCTCTCCGAAATGTTGATGTTGATGAAGTGATTGAAGCCATCAAACAAAAACTGAAATACCGATGCAAATGATTCTCCTCACTAATGAGAATATTGAAAATGATACAAGCAGAAATTACCTGATGCGCCCAATGATAGAAGCATCGTCCGGCAGCCCGTTGCATCATATGCATACGTCTGGTTGCACTCGGTGTTCCACGATTCCCCAATGCACCACCACAGCCCATAAGACTCAGCTGACGCGCTGTACTTGAGCGAATCCATTCTGGCCAATCACCTAAAGCCAAATCCATCATCGTTTTTAGTCATTCACATCGATCAGCTATCGCAGAGCAGCAAAATTTGGTTACATTTGATGCTTGGAGAAATGATCGCAATGTATGATCGATCGCTTGTTCATTAATAATGATTGGGATCGCTCATTATCAATGATGCACACACCAATATCGCAAGTATTCATGAATAACGGGCAATATCCACAGGAAAATTGAGTTGAGTGACATCTTGAGAATCAATTGAATTACACGAATGACTGATAAAAGTATCGCAAGACAAACGGATGTACCTTTATTGCAGCGATGAACAAAATGTGCACACTCCAAAATCAGCGCTGCTCTGCCAAGAATCGGTGACTTCAGATCCAATAAAGCGGCCAATAAGGGTGCATCCGGAAAACTTCCCGGTCTACAAGTCTCCAGAAGAAAAGCAAAACGACGAACACCTTCGCGGATTCCACGCAGATTAACCAGTTTTTTCGGTGGAATCGGTATGCCTCCCAGCGGTGAACGTTTCGTGTAAACGGCTTCTGAAAGTTTCAAATTCACTCAATAGAAAATATTGTCGCTTTTCATTGAAATGAACTAAGTGCATACGTTAGCCACAAATAATGTCTCAAACTAGACGTGCGTGAGCAGGTGAACCATACTTTCTGAGTGAAATATTATGAAGTGATCGAAACGCTGTTGCAATTGAGTATCATTAATAGTTCATAGCAGC